TCTGAGCTCTTGATCCGTGGTTATAAATCTGAATCTAGTCATCTGCGATCTTCAAAATGCCTTGAAGAAGGAGATATTAAGACAGTAAATGACTAAGGCAGAAAAAGACATTCCATGACAGAACTTTGATTGACGTTTCTCATTCCCAACTATGGGACACTTCCTATCTTATCGAATACCGCCCAGATTTTGACGAGATGATCCAAGTATACCAAGAACGAAACAGCCCTCTAGATTTTGAAAACCATTCTAGCAGCGACGAGTTTCTGATGATGTTTGGTTGTAACGTCATTTTTTAAGGTAAAAAAATAAACCAGGAAAGTTTCATTTTATTTGTAGATAAAATTTACAAACATCGTTCGATCTACCAGTCATTTGGTGCAATTTGGAAAATACGTGAGTGGTTCAAATTGTGTATATGTGCGAATTTCCAACAGTCAAATTGCTGCATGCATGGTGTTTCCTAATGTTAAGAGAACCTATGTCCACAATGGCTTAAAATTTTGGCTACAGTATGTTGAACTTTTAAGAAAAAGAATCGTTTTTAGTTCCGATCTTCGAAAGTAGTTTTAAATATTATATATAATTTGAGCATATTATAAAAGGATGTGAAATGGCATACTATAGTATAATAAGTTATCCTATTTTGGCATCAGTGGCGTCCCTGCAAACATGTCTTGTGATACCTAACTAGAAAAGCAGTCGTTTTAATGAATACGATGCATCCATAGAAGAGATCAAGCGATCAACTAGAACAATTCACTTTGGAAAATATCAGTGGTGTACGATTGTTTTTTGTAAAAAATATCACAAGACATGTTTGCAGGGGCGCTACTGGTGACTTAACAAAATAATTTTTCACATTAAAATATGCGATTTATATCCTCTTATAACATGCCAAAAATATAAATATACTAAGTGACATATAAATCCAGTTTAAATGGTTTTATTTTAATAAAAGTTGTGAATGTATTTATCTTACTGTATATAACAAGTGAAAAAATTTTCAGCCTTATCAGTTGGACATTCCGGTTTTTTATACTGCTTTTTTAATTCACTAACGCTCTAAAAATTAATATTTCAGCCGCAGTAAAGAATCAACGTTGGCGGATTTTGGTTCTTGACATCCTTTACGATCGGTTACGATGCCTAGAGTACGGAGACCTGTACGATTTCGTCAACTTAGTGAGTTTGATAGGGGCCGTATAGTGGAACTTCGGGAAGCTGGACTTTTTTTTCGGGCAATTGCAGTTAGAGTGCAAAGAAGTGTAGACACTGTGGTTAGGTGTTGTCAGGAATGGCTTCGAGAAGGCCGTACGCAAAGAGCAAGGGGCACTGGACGCCGCCGTAGAACAACAGACCGTGAAGATCGCCGCCTAAGATTATTGGCCTTAAGGGACCGTTTCTCCACTACCAGGTCCATTGCAAATGAATGGACCTATTGGCATGCGAAATGTTTACCGACGAATGAGAAGTTTTGGCTTGTTTTCATACCGGCCACACTGGGTCCTCCCTTTAACTCGAGAACACCGACGTAATCGCCTTGAGTGGTGCAGACAACGGTCACTCTGGGATCAGGAATGGAACAGTATTGTCTTTAGTGACGAGTCTCGATTTTGATTAGGCATGCACGATGGTCGTGTCAGGGTTAGAAGGCGACATGGTGAAAGGAGGAATCCACAGTTTTTTGTTGAAAGACATGTTCATCACACTGTTGGAGTTATGGTTTGGGGTGCTATAGCTTATGGTTCCAGGTCACCTTTAATCTTCATCAGAGGTAACATGAACGCGCAGCGTTATATCCACGAAGTTCTAGAACCCCCTCTTTTACCCTATCTTGACACCCTGGCAGATCCAACTTTCCAACAAGATAATGCCCGACCACATGTTGCAAGAGTCACAATAGACTTCTTTCAACATAATGATGTCACATTGTTACCATGGCCACCAAGATCTCCCGACTTATCCCCAATTGAGCACGTGTGGGATATTATGGGTAGGAGATTGCTCAATTTGCAAGGTCCTCCTCAGACTCTAGAAGCACTTCGAGAGGAGTTGGTGGTTTCCTGGAATGAGATACCACAGGAGGACATTGACCACCTGATCAGAAGCATGCCTAGGCGCGTTGGAGAATGCGTAGCACATCAGGGTGCATCCACACATTATTAAAGGTCAAAGGGCTTTAAAGCAGTGCAATCATTTTGAAATTTTTATCATTTACCTATTATGCTCCATTAAGTACTTATACAAAATTTTATTAAAATAAAACCATTTAAACTGGGTGTTCGGATTTATATGTCACTTAGTATAATAACTAAAGTACATTCATAAATACTTTTTAAAATACAATACCCTGCAGATAAAAAATTAGTCAACTGCAGAAATATGATTAATACAAATTTTCTGCATAAATTATTTGAGTCATCATATCCTAGAGTATTAGCACATCACTAAGGGACACCCTGAACATGTGAAACCAGCGTAGTCAAGGATTCTGAAATATCATCATACCACGTATATCAGTTTTACATGTGCAAATGTACCATCAAACCCGTACTAAACTGCATTACTGATCAACATTGCGTGACTGCGTTTTGATAAGAAATCTATGGTCGGCAAGAACTTCAATCATTTTTTTTCTGCAATCTAACACGGACCTCAAGCAGAGCTTTCAAAGGGATTACAAGCCATAAAAATCGAAATTACCATACCGTATATTCGGTACTCGTTAACAAGGAGGCGTATAAGGCTTTATTGAGCAATATAAAAAGACAAACGTCTTAAACACTTATATTTACGTTCTTAGCTAATTTAAGAATGGCGTTTACGAGCGTCAGGTATAGTTGTAGTAATTTTATTATTTGTGAGAACTACAGAAGTAACTATCAGAATCAGAGCAAACATAAATTTGCAGTAGCTGATGAGATTTAGACTCAAGATTGACCATGCTTGCCACATATTTTTGTCCAATCAGGTGTACTACTTATATACCAAGGATTTGAATTGTCTATTAGTTGGTTAACAGATGTAATCATCATCATCACATAGATGACATGACATAAAGTGGAGAGCACGTACTCTTTCATGCTTTTTTTTGGTAGGTCACAATGCCACACGAAATAAGCAAACAGATTAACCTCGTGAGGGAAACAAATTTGCACTGCTCAACTCAAGCCTCAACACAGTTGCTACTCGCTCTGCACACAGCCATGACAGCCTAACAGAGGAACGTTCTTGTCATCGACCTGCAAAATACTTAAATAAACTCAATACAGACTGTTGACATTGTAGTTGTATCTTCAGGCATTGCTTTGTTCTATATCAAGGATCAACAAAAGGTAGACTCAAATGGGACGCTCATGACAAGCAAGTTGTGATACCGATAGAGAAAGATAAATGTGGAAGACTGATACTTTGTCAAGAAGATCTAGAAAGCGGTGAGACAAAACTATGAAACGTATATCTCTGAACCTAGGGACGTAAAGGGAAAGGCTGGGGTATTTCAAGATTTCTACTGTTCCATGTCAGCGTCTATTTTTATTTAAATATGCTTGTATAAAATTGTTCATGCTTTTGACATTGTCATCTGTTTCTCAGCCTTGAGTCATCTACAGTTCAAAAAGAAAACATAACCTCACAATAGAGAGCGCTGCCACTGATACGGAACAGTAGAAATCTAAATACCTCAACCTTTCTGAAGGATACAAAATACTATGCAAATCAAGGAGCCATAAAAGCGTCCTGCAATTGAAGGAATGACTGACGATTGACGCTAGACAGATCTATGAAAGTACTTCTTCAAGTTCTATGTAACCCACAAAAAACCGTGAAAAGACTTATCGTTTTGCTTTTCATATCTAGGTATTTGTTACTATTAATATCATATCAAAATATGACACTCACTCTACTGTCCACTTGGAAGGTATGACTCCTATGATATCCAGCTGTGCATTGGTCGTGATGACATAGCGTATATATTCAAACGCTCCTCTTAAAGTGGAGTGTAAGAGTTCGCCGGGGAATATAAAAAGGCATTCGTAATAACCACGTATTTTACGTTCTTGGCGAATTTAATGGGTCGACTTCAGGTTCTCTCCGGGCAGTTAATCCGATTTGTGACGTTTCCAGCATAATTAATTGTATTGCATGGAGAGTATATTCTTTCGAGCTTCGCTGGTATGCGTGTAGTGATGTAGGTGAAGCCCAGAAACCAAAATGAGAAAATGTACTGCCTAAGAGAGCGATTCATAGTTTGAGATCCACATGGAGGCATTGTCATTTCGTCTATCACCAATAATGCTTAATGGCACTCAGTGACCCCACTTTTGTTACAGTGAAATCACACTATACAAATTCATTGAATATATTTTATTTACTTGGACACTTCACAGCTCAGCATTGTGGTTGTAAAAAAAACAAAGAGACACTGGGAAAATTGTCTGTCTTTTTGGCAAAGATAGCCTATAGACTCCGCCAAAAGACAACGATACCAAAT